AATCTAGGTCCATCCATGTTGCTGCAAATGGCATTGTTTCATTCTTTTAATGGCTGAGTAGTATTCCCATGTATATTTGTACCACGTCTTCTTTATCCATTCCCCTGTTGATGAATATTTAGGGTACTTCCATGTCTTGACTATTGTAAACAGTGCTGCAATGAACATACGGTTGCATGTGTCCTTTTGAATCGTGTTTTTCTCTGGGTATTTGCCCAGGAGTGGGATTTGCTGGGTGATATGGTAGCTCTATTTTTATTTTCTTAAGGAATCTCCTTACTGTTCTCCATAGTGGTTGCACCTATTTACATTACTAACAACAGTGTGGGAGGGTTCCCTTTTCTCCACATCCTCTCCAGCATTTATTATTTGTAGACTTATTGTTCCAAACTGTAAACTTTTTGTTTAGGGGTATAGCTGATTAACAGTGTTGTGATAGCTTCAGGCGAACAGCGAAGGGACTCAGCCATACATAGACATGTATCCATTCTCCTGCAAACTCCCCCCGCCCCCCAGTCCAGGCTGCCACATAATATTAAGCTGAGTTCCCTGTGCTGTACAGTAGATCCTTGTTGGTTATCCATTTTAAATACAGCAGTGTGCACATGTCCATCTCAAACTCCTTATCTCTTCCCCTCACCCTTCCCTCACAGCGACCATAAATTCCAAGTCTGAGTCTTTCTGTTTTGTAAATAAGTTCATTTGTATCACCTGTTTTTAGATTCCAAATATAAGAGATGTCATACAATATTCCTCCTTCTCTGCTTACTTCACTCAGTAGGACTCTCTCTAGATCCATCCATGTTGCTGCAAATATTATTATTTCATTCTTTTAATGGCTGAGTAATAGTCCATTGTATATATGTACCACATCTTTATCCATTCCTCTGTTGATGGACATTTAGGCTGCTTCCATGTCTTGGCTAACGTAAACAGTGCTGTAATGAACATTGGGGTGTGTGTATCCTTTCGGATCATGTTTTTCTCTGGATATGTCCCAGGAGTGGAATTACAGGGTATGTTAGCTCTATTTTTAGTTTTCTACAGAACCGTCATACTATTCTCCATAGTGGCTGCACCAGTTTGCATTCTCATCAACAGTGTAGGAGTGTTCCCTTCTCCAGCATTTGTTTGGATTTTTTTGATGATAGCACCTCACACCAGCCAGCATGGCTATCTTATTGCAGTTATATTTGCATTTCTCCAGTAATTATCGATGTCAAACATCTTTTCTTGTGCCTCATGGCCATCTGTATGTCCTCTTTGGAGAAATGTCTCTTTTAGGTTTTCTGCCCATTTTTGAGTGGGTTGTTTTGATGATGTTAAGCATCATGAGCTGTTTGTAAATTCTGGAGACTGGTCTTTTTTCAGTCACATCATTTGCAAATATTTTCTCCCAATCTGTAGACTTTATTTTCTTTGCTGGGTAAAAGCATTTAAGAAGGTCCCATTTGTTTATTTTTCTAGGAGATGGATTGAAAAAGATGTTGCTGTGATTAATGTCAAGAGTGTTCTGCCTGTATTTTCCTCTAGAAGTTTTACAGTGTTTGGTCTCACATTTAGGTCTTTAATAATTTTGAGCTTATTTTTGTGTATGGAGTTCGTATTATTTGCAGACTTTTTTATGACAGCCATTCTGACTGATGTGAGGTGATACATTATAGTTTTTATTCAGATTTCTCTAATAATTAGCAGTGTTGGGCATCTTTTCATGTGCCCCTTGGCCCTAAGTGTGTCTTCTTGGAAAAATGTCTCCTCAGGTCTTATGCGTTTTTTGATAGGGCTTCTCCGGTAACTCAGACAGTAAGGAATTCACCTACAGTGTGGGAGATCTAGGTTCAATCTCTGAGTTGGGAAGATCCCCTGGAGAAGGAAATGGCAACCCACTCCAGTATTCTGACCTGGAGAATTCCATAGGCAGAGGGGGCTGGTGGCTACAGTCCATGGGGTTGCAAAGAGTTGGACATAACTGAGCAACTTTCAAGCCTTTTGCCTAAATTTTTATTTTTTTGAGCCACATAAGTTGTTTGTACATTTTGGAGATTAATCCTTTGTCAGTTACATCATTTGCAAATAGTTTCTGGCATTCTGTTGGATGTCTTTTCGTCTTGTTTATGGTTTCCTTTGCTGTGCAGAGCTTTTGAATTTAATTAGGTTCCATTTATTTAGTTTTGTTCTTATTTCCATTACTCTAGGAGAGGGATCAAAAAAGATACTGCTGCAATTTATGTCAGAGTGTTCTGCTTATGTTTTCCTCTAAGAGTTTTATCAATACCAGTGTCACATTTAGATCTTTAATTCATTTTGAGTTTATTTTTGTGTTAAGAGTATTCTGGTTTCATTTTTTTACATATAACTGTCCAGTTTTTCCAGCACCATTTATTGAAGAGACTCTTCATTATATATTCTTGCCTCATTTGTCATAGATGCATGGGTTTATTTCTGAGCTTTTTATCCTGTTCCATTGATTTATATTTCTGCTTTTGTGCCGGTACCATACTGTTTTGATTACTTTGTAGCTTTGTAGTATAGTGTGAAGTCAGAGTGCCTGGTTCCTCCAATTTCATTGTTCTTTCTCAAGATTCTTCTGGCTATTTGGGGTCTTTTGTGTCTCCATAGATTGAAAACCACAAAACTGTTACAATTTTTGCTTCAGCCATCAAAGGTAACTCAGAAAACTTGAAAAGAGAAAGAAAACCTATTTCATTTACTGATGTTTTCACTTTCCATGCTCTTCCTTTCTGATGGCTCAAGGTTGTTTTATTGTTTCCTTCTTGTTTAGAGAGCTTTTCTTTAGTCACACTTCTAGGGTAGGTCTGCTGGAGAAAACTTCTGTTTTACTTCTGAGAATGTTTCAATTTCCCCTCCTTTTCTGAAGGATGTTTTCACTAGAATTCTGGAAAGACAGTTCTTTCAGTCCACAAGAAATGTGCCTCTCGCTTCCAGGCCCCCTGGTTTCTGAGGAACTTGCTGCCGCTCTGTGTTAAGACATCACCACCTGGAGGAAACGAGTTATTTTTCTGGCCCATTTTTAGGTTCTTTTCCTGTGGCTCTGGTTTTGAGTCTTACTGTGAGGTCTTGGTGTGGACTCCTTTGGTTTTATCTTATGCTCATCGGCATTTTGAATCTGAGCCTTTACGTGGCTTTGCCAAAGTCAGGAAACAGTCAGCCCTTCTTCTTGGAATATTTTTTTCAGCTCCCCCTTTGTGTCCCTTGTTCTTTAAACATATGCCATGAAAACCATGGGGAAGAAAGTTGAAGGAATTAATCTCCCAGAAGAATTCTAGATATTAGCAATAAACAAGGTAAGAGAATTCTGGAGCCTGGGGCTTTGGGGTTCTCCCAAACACACTACACAGCTGAGCACCATGGAGCTCCATGGCTGCGTGCTTTCCTTGGTGACCCCGGGCACCAACAGCAGTTCCCCAAAAATGGTGTATCACTCAGTTCAGGCCAAAATAATGACAACTGAATAGAAGAAGCTAGCCTCAGTCCTCTCCCTCTCACACGATAAGACTCTTACTCTGCACGACAAATACAACAAAACCACAGCTTCCTTGGTGTGAGCCCAGAGATTCTGATTGGAAAAACAGGTCTGATTAAAAGATACATCCCCAGGAGATTCTGAAGGACAGACAAGCCTAGGTCACCCTTGTAAGAATGTAAATGAGCACAGTGCCTCCCTGCATCATGCTTTGATCCCTTTGGTGTCTGTGCGGGATATGTCACCACCACACAGCACCAAATGACTCAAAAATGTGTCGCTTTAACTCCCTACATGTTCTTCCATTTGTTATAACAGGAACTTAGAAAAACCTAACACTAAACTTTGAAAGAATTCTTAGTGAAAGTGGAAGTTCTCAGTTCCTACAGCACAGGTCGGTAATGGCACTTCCTTTTCTCTATCGGGTCTGTACTCCCAGAGAAGGATACACAATGATGCTAACCTTGGGTACACACAGCAGATAACAGTATGTATAGTTTCAGCCCACATCCATACATCAAGTAACATATTACACCAACCTGGATGTTTACAGAACTTTCTTTAAAATGAAATTCACCATTATTTTTTGTAGCCATTCAATCTTTAAAATTAAATTATCTGATATTTTTCTTAACATTCAAAATGCACCATGCAAAGTAGAAAGCCAATTGTTAAAACTTGAAGTGAGATTAAATTTCTTTTTTTTTTTTAGTCTTGTAAGAGAAAGGCCTCAAAATATTGGGTACAAACTCAGAATTGCTCCTCTTAGAAGAATTAGTACAAGGCAGAAGATTTATATGGTCTGAAGAGAAACCACAGTATGAGTTTCAATATTTTATTAAAATAGCATATTTAACCACTGTTAACCAAGAATATTAATTTTGTCCCACCCACCCCAACCCCATATGCAGCACGACACAGTAGTGATTTCAAATATCCTTGATCGTGATAACCAACAGAAACATTTCAAAGTCAAGTTTGCAACTAAAAACTGGACCTTGGAAAAATTCTGCATTAGAAGAAACATCACAAAGCTCTCGAGCAGAATTCTTTTTTCTGCCTGAGAATTAATGCAGTATGCCACCCAGCTGACATTACTGCTGGTCTGTTCTTTCTCCTCTATGCATAGAATAACGTCTCGTTTATAAGTACCCACTTCATAAATAAATCGGCATTTTCACCTCATTTAATGTTCCTTTTCAGCTTCACAAAGAAACCAGTAAATAAAACTGTCAACGACAGTCACGACATAGGCTCTCACAGCAAGATAAAAAACTCGAAAATATGCAGAGATGCATCGACGCTATTTTACATAAAAAGATTTTAAAAAGTGCAAGGCAAAATCTGCAGTTTTTTTTAGGGGAGTTTTTAGGCACATCCATTTCTTAAAGCAAGCTTCAGTATGAATTCCAGTTTTTTTCTTCATGACACCTGTTTTAGTTAGTCTTTCTTTAAAAAAAAAATACATCCTGTCAAGTGTGAAATAGGGCATCTACGGTCCCGAAAGGCGAGGTTTTCAGTTATGGCGTGTCCGTCCTTTTTTTATCCTTGCCGGCTTTGGTTTGGGGATGTACTGGTTATTTGCCTGGTACTCGAGTTCTTTCCGGAAGTAGTGGATGGCTTTGTTTAACCCTTCCTCCAGCGGGACCTGTTTAAAGATAGGGTGAGAATGAGGGGCAGCCTCCGCCTGCATGGTGCACTTTAACACCAGGGGCACCCTTCTCCTCTCAGAAGTCTCCATGGAGGAAGATGCTCAGGAAGGCAGCCAGGTAAGATCCACATATCTGACTCTCCTGGGGACACTCACCCTCTGGACCTTCACCCCTGGGGACCTGACAGCCTCTGCTCTGTCACTCCCAGGGAATCAAAACCATCTGCACCTTCAACCCCAGGGACTCTTCACCCTCTGCACAGGGACCCGGGACAACAACTGAGTAGCCTCATGATGTGGAGGCCACCAGAGCAAACACGGAGCAGAAATCACAACAGGTGCCCATGCCGTGCAGACACAATGAAGGACAGGAAAGCAGCAGCCCACGGGGAGTCCACCTGGAGAAACTGGAGGACAGTCAGCCCAGGGAATGGGGGACCCTCGCCCCAGGAGGAGGGCAGTCTGCTCAAGGGGCAAGGGACCCACCCCCAGGGAGGGGGGCAACAAACCAGTGGGGGACAGATGAACCCACACGTGGGGTTGAACCTCACAAGTGGGGGCAGTGAGCCTGGGGAGAACCCAGGCCCCAAGGAGAGGACCAGTCAGCCCAGGGAGGACTCACAACCCAGGAGGGGGGCAATCAACTGGGGGGACAGGGGATGGGGAGGGGGACCCAGGCCCAGAAAGGAGAGCAGTGAGCCCTGGTAGGACAGTCAGCCTTGGGGAGAAGGGGACCCACACCCCAGGGAGACTCAGTGAGCCTGGGGAGATGAGTGGTCCATGCCCCAGGAGCGGGGCAGTCAGCGTGGGGGGACATAGGGGCCCTCGCCTGAGGAGGGAGGCAGTCAGCCTGGGGGACCCTTACCCCAGGGGGCAGTCATTCTGGTTGAGGGGGCCCCATGCCCTGGGGAGTGGGAGTCAGCCTCTGGAACCTGGGGACACCAGGTCCAGGGGACAGCATTCCCGCCTTGGGGAGCCACACTGGGAGGCCGAAGGCCTTTAAGAGGGTGGGGAAGGCCAGGAGGTCTGAAGTTTGCAGGCTTTGGCTTCTCACTCGCCCACCCTGCTTGGCCTTGGATGAGGTCACATAGGCAATGGACACCAAGGTTGGCCCTCCTCACCCATGACACCCTGGCTGAATGGACGGCCAGGCCCTGCAGGGCTCCTCAGTTCTAAGCCTGCACCGTCGCCCCCTCAGTGCGGCATTCCAAGTGAAGCCAGTGAAGGGAGACCCTCAATGGCAGATGCCCCAAGAGTACAGGTCACAACCGTAATGGAGAAGAAAGGACACAGGCCTGGAGAGGAGCCTGCCAGAGCCACCCCACTCAGCAGTGCCCGTGAAGGATAAACACGGGGAAAGGACTTCTCCAGCAGGCGGCGATAGCCCCGACCCCCTCTTACCACTGGCTCCCACCCCAGCATCAGCTTTGCTTTCTTGATGTCTGGTTTCCTTTTCTGGGGGTCGTCCTGGGCTTCAGAAAGGAACTGAATTTCACTCCCACTACCTGAATTTAAGAAAAACAGAATCAGGAACCACTGAGGTGTGATTTTTATATGTGAATGTCAAGTCCCACCTGCACAGGAACATAGATGCAGACCGTATGATGTGTCCAAGTCCCCTTGCTCTGGCTCTACAGGCCTGAGCCACCCTGAGGTGGGTGAGTGGGCAGGCCCCACACTGACCACCACCCTCAGCCAACATGGCCGTGCGCCCACTGCCCACAACCCAGGCGAGCCATCCTCCAGGCATGAACACCCTACCAGAGCCCCTCGCCTGCAGTCAGGCCACCTAACGAGCAGCAGGCAGGGGAGTGAATGTGGGCCAGCCCTGGCCAACACCTTACACGGGCCTGGCCACTGACACAAGAGCCACCCTGAGCCTACACAAACATGTCCAGCCACCCTGGACAGACCACATGCAGAAGGACAGAAGCCTGGCTGGTCCAGCTTCCTTGCTGGGCCCACACCCTGCCGGCCAGTAGAATGAAGCCATCCCAGTGACTGTTGGCCAGGCCTGCAGAGGGAGTCCCCACCCCAGAATCTGGAGTGAATAAAACAGCTGCTGTCTGAAGCCACTGGTGTTTGGGGCTATGCGTCACACAGCCGTCATCCTGGGATTTAGACAAACTTTTCCACTTCAGCATGAGCACGACCCCGAGGATCTGGTCACATGCAGGCTCTGCTCTGTGACACGTAAGCAGGTCTGTGGGTCTGTACTTCTCACAAGATGGTGATAAAGCTGCTGGTCCAAGGGCCTCACTCGGGGTGCCAAGGCCCGGGGTCCAAGGTGAGCTTCCCCATTGGGGAAGGGTGGACAGACCCCCAGGGGAGACACCAGGGAAGAATGTAAACAGAGGCTGCTGAGATTTCTGTCTTAGGAAGACTATCCCCTGTACTATCTGACTCTTCTGGCTGGTAGCTGACAGCTCGGTGCCAGGACAGACCACCCCAGACACTGTAGCCAGCTAAAGTGGCGGTCTGGATGGGCCAACATCTTGCTCATGCAGTCTAGCAAAACCCATTCCAATATGGTTGTGTCTGAAACTCTGATTTCTTGATCAACCGTAGGAAGCATACACTCCCTAAGCCAGGCTCCTGGGAGCCCCAGGACACCTGTGACAAAGAGTACAGCCCGTGGGCGCCAGCAGCCCACGGATAGCTGGAAACACACAAACTGCTCGTGGCTTAAGAGCACACCCTCTCTGGAGCCACTCCCAGTCTCCACACCGCCTGCTCCCTTGGCCAGGGCGGCCAGGACTGCACACGAACCTAAAGCTGCCCACCAGACTCCGTCAGAAGCACACAGGCCAGCGTTGCCCTCCTGGCTCCCCAAAGCTCTGTGCACGTCATGGCCAGCATGTGGCACCAGACAGCCGTCACCTGTGGAGAACTGCTGACCATGTCACGTCTCAGGCACCGGGGACAAATGGACGTTCCCGCTACACAAAGACCTGCTGTCACCACAGGGACCCAAGTCAGCCCCTTCCCCTTCATCTTTCCATTATTTAAAGCATCTCAAAACAGTGGGGCGCTCCTGACCCAGTTCTGCTTCCCATCGAGTTCAGTCAGCGAATGTTAACCATGCACTGTCCACACGAGGTGTTACTAACCGACAGGCCAGCTTCACTCAGGGAGGCCCCTGTTCTACTCACCAACGAGGTTTTTGATGAGCTGAGCAAATTCTAGGATGGTGTGTTCTTCCGGGTTCCCCTGAGGAGGAGAGGGTCTCTGGTTAGCAGTGTCAACACAACAGGACACCACCACCCACGTCCTCCGGGGTGCTTGCAGGCTCATGAAGTCACCGGACTCCCACCTCCATGAGGGTTCCGCAGGAGGCACAGCACGGCTGGGGGCTACACTATGCCTGTCCCCGCCTTAGCCTTGTTTGGGGGCATCTAATGGGGACATGTCCCCTGGCCCAAGTACAGGATGGTCTCCAGGTGCAAAGGTTCTGTAACCACAGTGTTGCTGGGCAGGAAAGCCTGGTTCTGCCAGCGAGCTCCCCCAGGACACTTGATACCCCGATGGGGCACCACACTCACCACCTCAGTAGTGAAGACCCCTGAGCTCAGACACGAAGCCCAACAGAAATTAAATGTATTCAGAGTTGTGGGCTCCGGGCAGCCGGCAGGAGAGACAGGAACTGGTTGAAGGGGAGCTGACTTCTGGAGGGTTTGAGGAAAACCATTTTCTCCTTCTATTCCTCCCCTCACACCTTCTAGCATCCTCAGCCCCTTCCTTTCCCAGTCCTGCTAATCCCATCATGAGAGACCACCATGAAGTCTGGCAACTAAATGTCCTAAGTACGCTTTGTTCTCAATCTCCTAGTTTCCTCTGAATCAATGCGACAGAGGCAGGCAGGGTTGCTGTTGTTTAACTGCTAACTCATGTCCGACTCTTTGCGACCCCCGGACTGCACCCCGCCAGGCTCCTCTGTCCATGGGATTCTGCAGGCAAGAATACTGGAATGGGTTGTCATTTGTTTCTCGAGGGGACCTTCTCGAACCAGGGATTGAACCAGCATCTCCTGCATTAGCAGGCAGGTTCTTTACCACTGGGCCACCAGGGAAGCCCAAGGTTTACCATAAATATATGGAGAGTTTTCTGCCAGCAAGAACCAAAGATAACAAGCTGCTCTGCAGAGAAGCATGTCCTCCAGCACAAGGGGGCAAAAGGCTGGATGAGACAGCAGGCTAAACCACCTCCCAATCCTGTCAGGAGTGGCTGGGGCTACAGGAAGCCAGACACAAAGCTGCCCGAGGCAGGTCTGGGCCATCCGCAGTCCTGGCAAGGGAGGGAGACCGTCCTAATCCTTCACTTTTTATGTCCCTGGAAAGTGAGCTTTATAAAGACTAACTGTAGGAGGAGAAGGGGACGGCAGAGGAGGAGACGGTTGGATGACATCACCAACTCAATGGACGTGAGTTTGAGCAAACTCTAGGAGACAGTGAACAACAGGGAAGCCTGAGGTGCACAGCCCATGGGGTAACAGAGTCGGACATGACTGAGCAACTGGACACCAACAAAACTGCACAAGACATGATGGGGAAAAGACATACACACAGCCCCACAACCAGCAGAGGCTTTGCGAGCTCCGAGACCTGGCCTCCAGGTGGATGGAGTCAGGTTAGTGTCTATTATGCAGTTCATCCATCCGTTGCAGACGCCTTACATCTTGGCAGACTCCTGTTTCATTCTGTTCTGTGATTTTTCCTCTAGTGCTGGTTAAGTGGCAAATAGGCGCATGCGCTAAGCTTGCTCACAGCAAGTGAACTGCAGAAGGAACCGGACTGCTAAGCGGGCAGTGGGCGGGGATGGACTCACCAGGTTGACGGGGCTGCTGACATTGCTGTTCATGAGTGCCACAAGGCCATTCACCAGGTCGCTGGAAAAGAGGGGAGGCCACTCAGGTGCCTGCTGATGCCCACAGGTGTGGTGCATCAGACATGAGCCACCTCCTGGGAGGAGAGATGGGACGTCAGAATAAAATCCTACATGCTAGAGGGCGTGGAGGATGCTTGAGTATTCTAGGAGACAAGGTGGTGTCAGGGAGCTGCCTTCTGTGGACAAGTGTAGGCAGACGACTGGACAGGATGGGAGCTGAGAGATGGGGCTGAGTTCCCTACATTGTGTATTTCTGAAATAGTTTAACAGTTAAAAAGTAAAAGTAGACACACATCCAAAAGAGATGGTATTTATGCAAGTTTCAGAGGAAAGACGATGTTTAACGTGAACCCAGGTAGTTGGCCCATACAGAAAAGCAGATGGTTTTTAAAAAAATAAGCTCCCCTGCAAAAGAAAAACCCTCCAGTATGTGACTCCTATACTGACAAGTCAGATAAAGCAGGCAACCCTGAGCGTTAAAGCGAGTTCCCTGGCCCTCCAGGCCTCACCTCCCCCGGAGTCCCCAGCTCCCAAAGGGGATGGTCGGGGTGTCTAGATGCTGCCAATGGGCTGTGAGCAACTGGGCCACGATGGTGACGGTGAGGAGGCAAACTTCTGCCTACCAAGGTTTAGTTCTTATTTATAGAACCATTAAAGGGTGGTTCTGTCAAAAAAAAAAACCAAAGTGACTTTGTAAAAATGACACCTCAGTGCTACATAAGCACGGGCTAAGGCACTTCCCCCAGCTGTGTTTCTGACGAGGTTGTGAGGGACGCTGAACATGTGGCCGCCTGGAACCTCTCCTTCCTCCTCCATCACAACCAGCAAGGAGCAGGTTACTGTGCTCACCTCTGAAAAAAGATCTTAGTTGTCCCTCTCCTTTTCATTGAGGGGGGGAAAAAATGAGGGGGGGTTTGCTATTTAGCAAACATGATTTTCTAGGATCTTATTTACAACCAATGGGTGTTTTGGGAACATGCCTTAAGTCCACTCTGCTCTCACAGATCAAGCACAAATGCAGATAAACACTCGCTGACCCAGGATGTTTCCTCTCTCCTAGAAATGAACACAGGCCCCTCCATCACTCTGGTGGTAATGAGCACATCCCAACTCCCCCTCTGATGACACAAATGTCTCTGCCTGTTTGGAAAGACATTGAAAGCTGCCATTCAGTAGCATCCATGAGTTTTTAATACTGAAATGGGGGGGGGGGGCGGTCCCCACACTAAGCTGGAAGGTGATGGAATCGTGTAATCATTCAGTGGAGGTGGAGATGGGGCATGCATCTTTTATGCAACAAACTGTCCACTTCTAAGGTCAGAGTTGCATAGATCACACCCATTTAACCTGAAGTTCTTTTAAAGTGTCATTCTGACAAAGCTACTTTTTAAGACAACACTGCATTGCCTCTGTGATGGGGTGAGGATGCAATCTGCCTACGAGAGCACCAGACAGACAGGACAGGATGTCAGTGCACAGGCCACCCTGAAACCCCAACAGTCACCCAGAGACTGGGCCATACTGCTTCAGGGCAAGCATGGATTTTGGAAATGGGTAACTTAGTTCAGCAATGCAAGGTCCCAACATTGTGCATTTTTATTTGAAACGGTGAAGTAGAAGAGTCTCAGTTTCTTTAAACTAGCTTATTTAAAACAGCCTGGCCCTGGTGAGCTGATCATCTTGGCCAAGCCTTGAACAAGGTAGAGTGGAGGCCAGGAAAGCTCGTTCCTCCAAGTTTGGGGAGGCTGGGGGAGCCTCGTGTGTCAGGGCCCAGAGACCCCAGAAGCAAGACCAGCAGACAGCGCAGCCCCATGAAGAGACATTCTGCCCAGAGGGTCCCCAGCAACACTCCAGTGACCGTATCAGGGTCTCTCAGGCTGCACACTGGTGTCTGGTCAGTGAGGGGCACACGGACTGTGCAGAGCGGGAGCAAGGCACATCCTGTCCTGGCTGGGATAGAACGCAACCCATGCATCACTTGATGCTTAAAAGACTTTTAACCATCAGCAAAAAAAAAAAAAAAGCACCTGAGAGGCTGCTTTAAATGATTTCATATCTGATGCCTTTGAAATAAGAGTGTGTTCTGACTGATGTCTTGTTTACTGCATAGACTCTGGAATATTCCACAAGGTGGTATGGCTGGAGGAGTCTGGGGGCCTTGATGAGGCTGTTAGAGGAGATTCAATGTGACTAAGATGCCAAGATCCCTGAGAAGTGCGCAGACGGTCTGGGGGAGTGGGATGGAGATGTGTCACTAAAGCAGGAGGTACCTGATGCAGACACGCCCCTCCCCCCAGCACATTCCCCACACTGACACGGACCTCCTCCATCCCCTCATGGCTCTGGGGTCAAGTGCCCTGACCTGGAAAGAGGCTGCTAGGTTGTGCTCAAATCCCTTCTTAGAATATTTGGGCAACAAAGTTGGCCAGTGACAAGATGGTCTCAGGCACTTTGCCCTCCTGGTCAACATACGAACAGGTGTGAGAAAAAAACACCGCTCATTATATACTTTTACTCACAACTTTCCTCTGGACTAAATGTGAAAATTCACAAACACTTGAAGGAAAAAAAAAATCTACAGTAGTTACATGTTTAATTTTTTCTTTCTTTTAAGCCAGGCAAAAGTTAGGGTGACTGCCTGGGTCGGGGCGGGGCTGGGGGCCACCTGCCACCACTTCCCCAGACAGCACCCCTGGGGTGGCCACCAGGAGCACCAGGAATGGCGTTTCCTAGTGGACAAGGTACCAGAACACACAACTAGCGTGTGCCCAGTGATTCAGGACACCACAGAACGATGCAGGATTCACCACCTCCTGGCATGTGGGAGAACAGGCTGGGAGATGTAACTGCTCACACACTGACTCTTAGAACCTAGACGGCACTGTAAAACTTGTCACCAACCAAACTGGCTGACAAAAAAGCTAGATTTAGGAGGATGACCGAGAAAATGATAAATATTACCTGCGAGATAATTCAACAAAGTTATTAAAAATGCTTTTAATTGCGTGTAGTTTTGACACCACATTCCTTGACAATACGACACTCGGCCTTATCTTTCCCTCAATGAGGACGATCTTGTCCACCCAGGAGGCCATGTCCACAGGATCTGATTCCAGCATCTGCAAGTCTGCTGGATGCAGAGGCCAGCGCCTCACCGGCCTGACCTGGAGCCCCCGGTGACCGTCAGGGCCGGTGGGTCTGACGACCAGACACTAGGTGGCAGCAAGGGACCAGCCTGTCTGGCCTCCGCTCACAGATCCAAGGCACCCGCAAGGAGCAGAGCGGTCAGTCCCGCCCAAGGCTGGCCAACTCAGATAGGAGCTGCGGCCAGCCCAGGGTCTTACCTGACATACTGGAAGGCCCTCGTCTGCGATCCGGATCCGTACACCTGCGAGGAAACAACAATGAGGGTGCTGAAACCACAGACCGGGACCTCAACCCTGATCCAGAGGCTGCGGCTCCAGGCCCTGCCAGGTCACGTGGGTGAGGTTCCAGCCCGCATGGATGACACCCCAGGGTCCTGCTGCAGGAGGGCCTCCACCAGGCACCTTGAGGGGCCCTGAGTACGGAGACACCTCCTCAGGGCCCCTCCCTCTGGAAGGGAGACGCCCCAGGGCCAAGAGCATGTAGAGAGAGGTCTTCACTGGTAGACCCTGCACCCAAGGCACCAGGGTGTCTGTGGCTGGGGAGAGGGTGACCTGACCCCGTCCTCAGTCACAGCTCCCATGAGCTCCCTCCCTCCCTCCGAGGGCAGCGGGGACGCGGGATTCAGGGCCAGCTCCCCCGGATGGGACGCCCTTACCCTGAGCCCCCTGGAAGACATCCCCACACCCGCCTGCTGGCCACGCACCGTGAGCGGCTCCCCCTGCAGCGCCTGCAGGATGAAGTTGCTGACCACCCGGCCATCGTTCATGTGCATTCGGGGACCGAAGGTGTTGAAGATCCTGGCCACGCGCACCTCCACACCCTCCTGCAACAGACAGAAGCTGAGCCCCATGCCCACAGCCGCAGGATTCACCACTGCCGTGCCTCGTGGCTCCTCCTTCCGGACGCAGGGCCTTGCCCTGCACACATGGGATGTGTGTGCTCTGTAATCAGGCCTGGAGTCTGCAGAGTCACCTCAAACTCACAGAAGCCCCGGATCCCACTGCTAGGAGGTCCTGGCGTGAATACACTGCAGAAACCCAAGAGGCAGTTAATCGGGGCAAGAGGAAATGATGGGTGTACATTTTTTGCCCCAGTAAATAAGTATCTATTTTCTCAACAAGCATCATGCTATGCATCTCTTTCCCAATCTCTTTCACATAATGTTTTATGTAAATTGATCACTCAATAGAGATTTAAATGTCAGTGAATGTTTAACAGCTGATTTAAAGGAAAGTAAGACAGCACTTTGTCCTGGGGAAGGACCACATTGTACCTATATCCCCTTCTGTTCTGCTGAAAAACTCATCTATTTAGTGAAAAACCAGACCACCTAGCACCTGATACAGGCAATTGGCTCAATGCCTGAGAAGACACATACATAACACTGATCACAGCAATGGGAGTCCCACGTGGTGAGATTGCAGACCTTCACTCTCTTCTGCACGTGTTTCCAACGTTTCTGTTTTCATTACAATAAACATCTATTACTTCTGTAATTGGGGAAAACATACTTTCAAACATGTAATCAGGAAAGTATGTATTTTTTAAACCCCAAAAGCCTTCTGCAACCTATTAATTTCACAGGCTGCTTTGTCCGTGATAACTGTTTCTATCACCTACTCTGAATCAGTGAACTCTTAGAGCAATCCATCATCCATCAGACAACAGACATGTGTCTCCTGGACCGAAGGGTCCCCCACCAGGAGCAGGTGAGGGCTGTGGAGAGGGGGTACCCACACATGCCCCCAAGCCCACAGCGCAGGCCTTGCGGGGGGACATTTCCAGACAGCCGGGACGCACTGCTCACCTGGGCAGACACGAGTCCTGGGGCAGATGTGCTGACAAGAACCCACAGGTTACTTGGCACTGTTGGCCCAGACCCCAGGGTCACAAAAATTGCCGAGACTGTGTTCACAGGCAACTCCTAGACTGGACACCATGACAGGGATCAGTCTGTACGCTGTCCTCAGGGGGATGCCCACTGTCACCCTGACCACCACGTGACTTCTGCACACAGGCAACATCACCTGCTGGGGTCCCCAGTGGGCAGCCCCGGCAGGCAGCACCTGCAGCAGACGGGTTGGGCAGTGAGTGACACCTCCCGAGGGCCACCACCCAAAGGACTCCCAGTGGGTACATTACAGATTTTCAAGAGAGTGTGACTCTCTCAAGACCTGTGCGTGGACCACAGGTCCTGGCACACAGTCAGTGCTCAATAAATGCTGGCTATGCTTCTACTAAATACCCTTAGTTATCATGAGCTCATACCTTAATATGTACACTTACAACATTAAGTTACATTTTTTTAAGAGAAACTGAAAGTTCAACAAAAATGTCCTGTTTGTGTACCATCTTTATTTAGCTCCGTAAAAGCCAAGAAATACGAGCACAAAAGAAGACAGCCTACAGTCTACAAACTTATCACACAATAAAGTGTAGTTATGTCCCCTCACGCACTCGAGTTAGTGTTCTTAGGGACCAACATACACGGAGGCTGTCCCGGGGAGACCATTTTAACTTTAGCTGTCAAAATATTCTGGGCTCAAAAATGATACAAGCAGCACTGACATAACTAACTACACTCCCATGTGTAAAACGGACAGCCAGTGGGAAGCTGCTGCACAGTGCGGGGAGCTCAGCCTGGTGCTCTGTGATGACCAGGAGGGGTGGGGCGGGGCGGTGAAGTGAGAGAGGCTCAAGAGGGAGGGGAGATATGTAAACATACGGCCAATTCACGTTTCTGTAACACAACATGGTAAAGCAATTATACTCCAGTTTTAAAAAAGGATGACATAGAAAAAAAAAAGATGACATAGGTATGTCTTTTCTAAAACTGATTAAAATAAATGAATAATACAAGTCAATTGGCCTAGATAAACTTTGAAAGCAATTAGTTCTGCCAAGAAATATGAAATATGCAGAAAAATGTAAATACCTACATCAGCACAAGGTTGGTCCTTGGGTCTTCAACACTTGTAAACGTTAAAAATATAAGGAAAAAAAGTCTCTGGTAATTGCACCCCTCCCCCAAAATGAAACAAAGTGTTTAGGGCCTCCCAGGCCAGCCCTGAGTTCTTGGCACTGGGTACCCAGGCAGCGCCCACCCCACCTTGCACAAAGCCCATGGCCAACTGAGCTCCAACTGGGCCAGGATGATGAACCCTCAATCCAAGGCTGCTCCCAGGATGGACGCCTGCTAGCCTCTCAGTCTCAGAGATCTCGTCTCTCAGTCTGAGAGAGAGAGGCCTCTCTGTCACAGAGGCCTGCCCTGAAAACACCTGGCCACAGTCATCTACCTACATGTCCCTCCAGTAAAGAGTATGTCAGTGAGGACCCCAAAACTGATCAAGAACAACAGATGGCCTACCTGGGGCCCCATCTGGACATCTCGTTGGTGTCTGCACAGCCTTCAGGTGGGTGGGACAGGGCCTGTGAGCAACAGCTCATGGCCCAGGGCAGACAGCGGGAAGCCAGGTGTGAACCCAGACCCCCACCCCTCAGCTGGGAGTGAGCAAATCCATAACACGGAAAGATCCATGGGCAGGCCGCAGCACAGGGTGACTAAGGAGGCAGGGACTCAGAGGGTGAATAACAATCCCTGAAGACGCCCATGTGAAAGCAAAAATGAAGTATACCCACTAGATCACAGAAAGAGAAGTAAAAAGTTAAAAAAGAAAGTGTCCACCCACCCGGAGGCTTTGAGAAAACAGAAGCACTTATTATTAACTGCTGGTGGGCGGTTAGTCATAAAGCTGATCCAGCCACGCCAGGGTCTTCAAAACCCAAGGCTTCATTCCCAGAAATCATTTTTTAAAAACGAGACATGGGAAAGGCTGTTGACTGCATCGTTAATTTATGACAGTGGGGAACCAGGGAACCCGTCCCTGGACAGGGTCAACCACGGTCAACTGTACTTGATCCAGCAGTGACCTGTCTACACCACCAGTCCCCGATACCTGCTTCATGTAGGCATAGCACATGGTCTCGGCGACTCGCTTCCCTTCATCATAGCAGGCTCGGGGTCCTATGGGATTCACGTGGCCCCAGTAATCCTCGGTTTGTGGGTGGACTTCAGGGTCTGCAGGAGGGAGGGGGGCGGTGGTGGAAGAGGAAGCACTTTCAGAACCTCCCTTTGTTCAAGTTCACATATTTTACAGACAACGGATAACGATGATGCAAAAGGGAGTTTGGGAAAGACCAGGATCAGCATCTCACCTGGAGAGATACCTATCAGAGGGGATTCGGGATTTCTGCTAAGGGCAGGGCAGGCTGGACACCCACAGAGAGGCCCTGAATGCCTCAGAGGACCAACAGAAAAGGGGGGCACAGACACCTGCTCCGCAGCTGGCACCGGTGGGGTGGAAATGCCAGAGGTTCACGACCCAGCTTCACCCCCTCACAAAGCCACTTTGCTACTACAGCAGTGAGGGTGCAGGGGACACATCATCTCAAACCCGTCCCCCCTTCAGCATCGGGGGGGCCGGCACACCAGATGGGGGTGCCTGCAGGCACCACTGTTGGAGCAGACCCGGGGACCTCTGAGAATTACTCCAACATCACTGACAAGCTGATGTCAGAGGCGAGATGCTAAGTGAGGGTAGTAGGGGGTCGTGGAAAAGACATCCGAGACAGGACAGGGACCATCAGGACACTGAGACAGGAACAAGGACACGGCCTTACTGCTTCTGGGTCACATGATACAAAGGGCCTCCTGGTACCGCGCGGGGACCTGCCAAGCTCTGCAGAGTCTGGAGGTGGGAAGCACCTCTCAATGCCCCTTCCTGGAGCTGGTGGGAGGTGGGGCGCTGCCTGGACTTCAGAGTTGTGGGGGTGCTCTGCCTTGCCAGTGGAGGCAAAGAGTAGAGCCGCATCATCAGAACTGCACCTCCTATGATTTTTTTCACTTGGTTCCCTTATTTATTTTTTTAAAAGGCATCTCTTCCCACACTGCCCTCTCACTTCCCGGCTGTGAGAGCAACGCCTGGAGAAAATCACACTGCATTAGCATCTGGCTTCTGCCGCATCCACCAAGTGGTTCTCCAGAACCCTGCACCAGAAGGGCCCTCAGCTCTCTCTGAACGCTCACATCCTCAAGGTTTGGGGCGGGCAGGGCAAAGCAGGCGTCAGGGTTTTCTAGCTCCACCTACTTAAGCCTCTCTCAGAACCTACCCTCAAACAGCGGAGGCAACCAGCACACATTTGTCTCCCCACCATCTGTCTCCTGACCCCTGAGCTTCCGGGGTTTGGAGAGCGGAGGGGATGGGGGTGCTGATTTCACTAAAGAGCAAACCCTCTGGCTAAACCAGCGAAGCCTCCGTGATCTGACTCCTGAGGTGCCTCTGGAGCAAAGACACTTCTGTGGATTTTTAAGTGGCTCGTTGGCAAGGTGACACAACCCAGTCCTGGTAGGGGGAGGTCCTTCAGCAGGAGAAAAAGGCGCACCCCACCCAGAGGAGGGAACCCCTTGGCCGCTGCCCGCTGGCGAGGAATAGCCGGGCGGACCTTTTGGAAACGAGTCTAGACTCACTGGACCCTTCTCCCCACTGCTGTGACAGGAGCCAGCTGTCCAGGGGGCTGGAGTGATACCCACTCACCTCCGTACACCTCTGAGGTGGAGGCCAGGAGGAGACGGGCCCCAACTCGCTTTGCCAGCCCTGTGGAAACACGACAGGACACTGTCAGCTTCAAGGAACAAGGAAAACAAGCGTACAGCCAATTTAAGGAATGTTTTGGTATGAATGGTATCTGGCCATCTGGGCATTGTAAGTTATCCACTCTTACTGCATCTACTTTGGACTCTAAATTCAAACTGTAAGAAAAGTACAAATGCACTCCCAGAAACACGGCAGTTAGCTGGACATGTGTGACTGTAAACACGGCCAAACGCACAGTCTGTGGACTTTATTATAAGGTATGACGTGGGGAATTTTATAAAGATTCCTTTACCTGAACGTGGCAACCAGCACCCCATCAGGTAACTACCCCCACCCTCGCAGGCAGAGGGCAAGGTCCTGCGAACCCTGCCACTCTCTCCCTTGATGGTCAGCCTTCTCTCCTCTGCTCCCCACGTGCCCCGGGCACCTCCAACTGTGCCCAAGACAGTCTCCTGTTCAGGTACCTCTGCCCCACTCCCTCTTTCCTTTGAGGTCCAGCTTCCGCAGTATCTTCTCCAAAGTAACGGGCCATGTCTGTGTCCAGCTCTGACCCCTTCTCGCCTTCACCCCTCCCAGCAAAAATGGACTAGAGTATTGTCACCTACCAAGCTCAGGTCAAGCTCTAAGACAGCAGTCCCCAACCTTTTGGGCACCAGGGGCCGGTTTAATGGATAACAATTATTCCAAAGACGTGGCAGGGGTAGGGGGATGGTTTGGGGACAATTCGAGCACATTACATTTATTGTGCAGTTTATTTCTATTATTATTACACTGTGATATATAGTAAAATAATTACACACTTTGCCAGATGCAGCTTAGCTGTCACTTGCCACTCACTGGCAGGGTTCGGACATGAGTCTGCAGCTGATTTATTCTGGTCTCTGCAGTTAGACCTCTCTGCCAGTGATACTTCGTAACTGCAGCTGCTCCCCAGCATAGCATATCACCTCAGCTCCACCTGAGATCAACAGGCAGTAGAGTCTTATAAGGGGCTCTCAACCTAGGTTCCTTGCATGTGCAGTTCACAGTGGGGTCTGTGCTCCTATGAGAATCTAATGCTGCCCCTGACCTGATAGGAGGCAGAGCTCAGGTGGAAATGTGAGTGATGGGGAGTGGCTGTAAATACAGATGAAGCTTCACTCGCTGCTCACCTCCTGCTGTGTGGCCCGGTTCCTAACAGGTCATGGACCGGTACCTGGGGCCCCTGCTCTAAGGGCATTTCAGGGCATCAGCCGTGGGAACCTCTCCATCCCCCATGGTCACCAAGTACCCGAGTGTAACCTCATCTGACCTACCCCCTGTCAGTGGACAGGAGGGAGCATCCTGTAACAGGTGGGAGGAAGGTCCTCTTTCTAAATATCGTGAGCATGGTAGCTGTTTCTGCACTACCTCCAGCTCCACGTGAAGGCCGGGTGGAGGGCTGAAGAGAGCTGGGGGCAGGTGTGTGCAGTGCTAAGAACAGGGTGTCTCCACCACATGCACCTGACGGTCAGGACACCAGTGCCCTCTCTGAGTTAGAGAAAGCATCCTTCACTTCCCGCAGAGCCTGCTGCCCCGAAGGTTTTCTCTAAAGAGACCGCACTCCCCTCCCAGCTGCCCCTTTCTCAAATTGAAATGCAGGGCTGTTTCTCAAACCCAGTTACAAAATCTGCTTTAAATATTTCATAATTAAATCCACTTTTCACTTGACATTTAAAGAAGCAGTTCCTCTCTTCACTTCGCACCTAATCAAAACCCTTGGTTTTTAAACCCATGGAAACGGAAGCGCCTCTGACCTCAACCACCCAGTGCACGTGGTCCACGCTCCGGATTTGTCTGTGGGCTCAAACACGGCCACCTGGGGTGGTGCTCACGCTCACCTTCCACTTCCAGGGTGAGGCCTGCAGTCAGTCTGGAGCTTAGTCTCCTCAACCCCACGAGGAGGTCCTCCCATCCCCAACCCTGTGGGCCCAGCCCACACCCCACCTCGCATCAGAGCCTGCAGTGCCCCTTACAGCCCCAAGGCATGCATGCCACAAGCAGGGGAAGTGCAGGAGGGGCGGGCGGCCACCTGAAAGGCGGGGGATGTCACTGAGGCAATGCAGACCGATTCCCACAGTGACGGACCCCCATGATGAGCTGTGACGGCAAATCCAGCCACCCTGAGAGCATGCATGGGGAAGGGGGGCTGAAGAACAGAACTGACAGGATCCAACGCCTGGTCCCGACACCCTGACGGCCTGCAGGGCGAAGGACTGACTCACCCAGCATGTTTAGTGTTCCGATGGTGTTGGTCTTCAATGTCTTGATGGGATTGTACATGTAGTTGGGAGGCGAGGCAGGAGAGGCCAGGTGGTAGATCTGGTCCACTGTGAGGGGTGGTGGGAGGCAAAACACACCTGTTACTTTCAGGGAAAACACTGGAAAATGCGGACCTCTCAGAATTGGACCGTGTGAAAACAGTGCTCATGTATCTTTCACCGAAATTCTACTCATCACCTTTCATTCTTCTTAGAAACTAGTTCACATATATGAGACTGGAAGAACTTCAAACAGAAACAAAGTCTGATCACCTGGAACAAGAGCGTGCCAGGGCCCCTCATGTGGCCTGTTCCCCTCTACCTAGAATTGGTCTGATCGCCAAGTGGACTGCTCCCTGAGAAGATCTATCTGGATGCAGTGCTCAGACTGGAAGGCAGACTGAGTTCTCAGATATGGAGAGAAGCATGAATATCAAAATGAGCAATATTTTCAATTTATAAAAACAAATCGACACAAAGGGTAGAAAGTGTGGGAGATGAGAGCTTCTGCTCTGTTTCTACCTGTCCCGCAGATAAACACCAGACCTAGAGGCGGTTTTAGAGCCACCAAATAGCGAAACCGTCTGGGTCCCACGTGACTCCCCTGGCACAGAGGTGATGCTTTAATATCTGTGCCCTCGACCTCAGAAATGAATGAATAAATAAAAACTGAAAACAACACATGGAAACTCTCAAGGGTGTCCAAATAGCCAAAATAACTTTGGAAAAGTGCAAAGTTGAAGGACTCACATTTTCTGATTTCAAAACACAATACAAAAGCTACAGTAACAAAAGGGTGTGTTACTGGTATAAAGACATAGAGACCAAAGGATTGCAGTAGACAGCTCACAAATAAACCCTCTGTGTACAGTCACGAGATCTCTGACAAGGGTGCTGAGCCACACAGTGGAGAAAGGACAGTCTCTTTGACAAATGGTGCTGGGAAAACTGCACATCCACGTGCAAAAGAATGAGACTGGACCCTGATCTTACCCCACACACAAAAACCAACTCGAAACAGATTAAGAGCCTAAAATAAAAGACTTAAAGGAATAAAACTCCCAGAAGAAAACACAGAGAAAAAGCTGCATGACACTGAATTTAGGAAAGATTTCTTGAATTTGACACCAAAAGTAAAGGAAACAGAGCAAAAATAGACAAATGAGACTAGGTCAAACATTCTGCCGGGATCAAAAGACACCATCAACAAAGTAAAGACAGCCTACAGAATGGGAGAAATACTTGCAAATTATATGTGATAAGCTAATATTCAGAATACATAAAGAACCTCTAAAATGAACAACACAAAATCAACCAATTTAAAAGATGCAAACATTGAATATATTGATACATCTCCTAAGATGATACACAAATGGCTAATAAGTGTATGAAAAAATGCTCAATGTCACTTAACAGAAACATGCAAATCAAGACCACACTGGCTACTGCTTCACAGGGATCAGGATGTCTACTACCAAAACCCCCCCAAAAAATTAACAAAAGCTGTCTTCAAGGATGTGGAGAAACTGGAGCCCTTGTGCACTGCTGGTGGGAATGCAAACGCTGCAGCCACCATGGGAACAGTGGGGCATTCCCTCAGAATATTAGAAATGGAATCAACATAGGATAAGACATTTCACTCCTGGGATTACAGCCAAGGGAATGAAAGAGCAGAGTCTCAGAGAGATACTCCTGCTCGCACGTGCATTGCTTATAGTAGCCAAGAGGTGAGAGCCACGCAGGGTCCCCGCGCAGACGGCCCAAGAGGCGAGAGCCACGCAGGGTCCCCGCGCAGACGGCCCAAGAGGCGAGAGCCACGCAGGGTCCCCGCGCAGACGGCCCAAGAGGCGAGAGCCACGCAGGGTCCCCGCGCAGATGGCCCAAGAGGAGAGAGCCATGCAGGGTCCCCGCGCAGACGGCCCAAGAGGAGAGAGCCACGCAGGGTCCCCGCGCAGACGGCCCAAGAGGTGAGAGCCATGCAGGGTCCCTGCACAGACGACCCAGTGAGCAAAGGACTGCCCCCCCGCCCCTCCTGGGAGGGCTAAGGCACGCTCTGTAACACAAGATCTCATGTTGCCTTAAGCAGTGTGTCCTTCCTACGGGGACACGTCCTGCCTGTACAGTAAGGCCCCAGTGCCCTCACCAGTCACTGACAGTCTCCCAGAAGGAATTACGGGCAGGACAGTGGGGGAAACTTCAGAACAAGCGTAAAAAGTCAGTCATGAGAGGTACTAGGAAGATACCATGAAGCATTAATAACCAAGGTGAACTCTCACCACCCAGGAAGAAATGCTTAGAGCCTGCCCACTGCGTGGCACATTGCACCCAAACAAGCATGATGTTCAAACCCCTGAGCCAGGGGAGGGCGACCGGCGTGGCGATCCATCCGTGCTGGCTGCCGGCCACCAAGCGACGCTCCCGCCACCCTGTCCCATGAACAAGCCGGCATGCCGGAACGGCAGCTGGGAAAACAGGAGCCTTGAGAAATGAGCCCGAAAGAGCTCAAGTTAAAGTGTGATTAAAACAGTAAAACCAACTCGAGTTCTCCTTTCTCACATAATTTCCTTAAATAGGTTCAAAGTAGTGTTCTTGGCAGGCTGTGGGCATGTTATTTTTATGCTGGGAGGAAGACGGGCCCAGGGTGGGGTGGCCACAGCGCACTGGTCCTCCTGTGAATTCTGAAAACTCAGGCAGTCTAACCCCAAATGAATGAATTCTGCACATGTGAGACATAGATAGAGAAAGAAAAAAGCACTCAAAACTAACAGCTCTTGAGATAATTCAAAATTACTGCTCAGAATCCATACCAAAAAAAAAAAAATCAGGTGCTATCTCCTACCAAAGGGGAAATCCACAGAGAGACAGACAGAATATTTACATCTTCCTGCAGTATTTTTCTTTTTACCATGTTTTTTCAACCAAGTTCTCTGCGTGACCTGTGTCAAACCTCTGCTGTGTCACGGCCACTCCTGGCCACATGGCACACACAGCCTGACCACTGCTCCCCGACACCAGCATCTGTGGTGGAAAACAGGGCTTAAGAAGATACACAACTTTTCAAAGTGTAAAGACCAAATTTCTCTTGGCATGGAAAATTAAGAGTGGGATTGTGCCTTGACTTCGTATCAAATAATACTGACTTAATGCCAAGGGGAGGCTGCCTGCTTGAGGCCTGGCCCAACCCCGGATCAGCCACCAGCTGGCATGCCCCCCGCCCCCCACAACGATAAAAGGCGGCACCCAATGTGCTGGCTTCCCTGGAGGAATTCCATGTTACACGGAGGGTCTCTGAGCTCCACAGCCTCTGCGTTCAATGCTTACACTTGCACCATCACTGCAAGTGGGGAAATTTCTAAACTACTGAATATAATTCTACAGAAACATTCCAATCTGAGGGGCACTCTTCAAATGCCCACAGAAACACAGACCCAAACTTCTCAGCAAATGCCATTTTCAGTCCCACCTCTTGCCATCACCTGGCAGAGTTGAGGGGTCGGGGGGCTGGTCAGGTGTTGACAACTCCCCCCTGGCCAGGTCTCCCCTTGGATTCCTCCGCCTGGTACAAGGAACTAACAGAAAGGGCTCAGCACCCAGGGCTAACAGCCTACCCAACACAAATGTTCAGAGAGCTAGCAGTGTCCACCACAAAGACGTACCAACAGTGCTAGGACACAGCAGTGCACATCGGGGTCACTACCGTCATCTGCCCGTGGCTCTGGGCCCCTGGATGTCCTCCCATGGCGCCGTCAGGGCCAGGACCCAGCTCCCCAGACACCAGGGCCTCTCTGCCTGCTTCCTTCTGTGCAGACACGCTGCCCATGAAGCGGGGGGACAAGCTCTCAGGGAAGCTCTGGGGAGTCACAGGCTACACACATCCCAGGTGATGACAGCAGTGACCTCACATCCGTACTGGGCACTTCCCGAGCCACGTCCACTTCCTGGACGGCCAGGTGCGGCAAACAAGCCCCGCCCCCAGCTGCACGGGGTAACGAAGCTGTGCTATGTTCACGCCATGGGGAGATGCTAACGGCACAGAGTAGGGGGGAGACAAGTCTCTGTAAAAAGACCTGGTGCAGCCGCACAACAGAACACGACTAAGTGCCAAAAAAATGAAAATAATAATAAACAACATAATAGTGAAGTAGCACTGCGTGAATGATACAGAAAGATCACCAGGATACAAAAAGCAAGGGGGAAAAAATTCAGAGCAACACAAAAAATGCTACTTTCTCTACTGTGGGGAAGAATCATGAATACCTGCTTGTGTTAACTGGGTCACAGAAGGAAATTGCAGATGAGCGAATGTGAGGAGCAGTCTCCTGGAGTGAGGTGGCAGGCAGAGGCAAGAGGAAGACTTTTTAAGGAATTTCTTTTTAATTTAAAAAAAAAAAAATGAACCATATAATTTATATTGCCTATTAACCATACATTTAATCTAAAAAGATCACATTTAAAGAAAAAATTATTAGATGTTAATAAGAACAGAGAGAGCATTTTTGGATAAGAGGATTAATTTTCTATTTTTTTTATACTTTTCCAAATGTTCTGTAGCATCTGGGTATTACTTTTATCACTAGGAAAGAATCATCTTTTGAAAGGGGAGAAAAAAATGAAGATTCTCTTCTATGTAACTTTTAAAAATTTTGTTTATTTTAAATTATTTCTTGCCTTTTAGTTATTTAATTATTTCTGGTCTTTGTGGATGCTCAGACTTAAGTACTCTGCAGCATGTGGGAGCTCCCCAGATCAGGGAGCAAACTTGTGTCCCCTGCATAGAAGGCCAGACTCTTAACCCCGTGACCACGACATTCTATCTCTCAGCCCCGTGACCCTCCAATCTCTGCCGACTCCACGGTACCCATCCGTGTCCTCTGCACATGGATCAGAGGTATTTAAACAGTCATTCTGGTAACTCCATGTCCCTGCTACGTCTGCTCCAGGTCTGATGCTGGCTTTGCCTCTTCAGACCGAGTCTGTACCGTGGACGTGCACCATGCACCAGGACCAGTGGGGATAAACAGGCTGGACACAAGCTGTGCTCGCTGCCCTGCAGCCCTCGGGGTCAGAGGCTGACCCCCTGGGACCTTGGTGTGGTCTCCCTGGTTGTCCCTGGGTTTCCCTAGAGACTCTTCCTTACCTAGGCCTGGGGCCCTGGGATTCCTCTGGTGCACCTGTTGTCCTTGGGGTCTCCACTGAGGGGCGTGGGGAGTGAGGCGGGGGGAGGAGGTCCCAGGATGGGGTCTCCTCATTGTGAGCCTGGGCTGGGGGCATCCATCCATGTTAGTCAGGCTATGGGGGGAGGTCTCCCCTGAGGAGCCTTCAGGGGATAACTGGGTTTTCTGGGTGGATTTTTAGGAGGGCTCGTCCCCCCGGCTCCCTCGCTGGAAACCTGTTACTGAGAACGCCCCTCATGGGGCTCCTGGAGGGGAAACTTAACACAAGGGCCCCCGACCCCCAGAGCTGAGGCTGGGACTTACAGCCCGTCCACACTGTCCCAGCCCCCGGGCAGCTCCCACTCACTTCCACCCAGTCGGGGTTCTGTGTCCAGCACCATCTTGGGATCCCGGGGGCAGGGGTCTCTGCCCCCTGCAGGAGCGGAAAAGGCTGCCGGCCATCAATCTGCTCATCTCCCAGCTGTGAGGACAGGAGGGGCTACTCCAGACTCCCAATCGGTCAGACCAGAAACCTGAAGTCCACCTGCCCACGAAGATAGTTCCTTCCTCTTCCAGCTCATCTTCCAAGGGGCTCCCCCTCCCCTCAGGAGCATCTGATCAGCTCTGAGAGCCTGGTCACCGCCCGCTGTCCTGTCCCTAGGGCCCTCTCCTGGGACAGACACCTGCCTGCGCCCAAGGTGACGTCCCCAGCCACAGCTCAGCGACCACCGTCCCGGCGGCCTGGCGTCCACCCCACAAACTGCACACACCCTCCACTGGCCCTGGCTTTTCAGAAACCTCCCATGTCTGAATGGGTTGGGGGGTGGGATAGGGGAAGAATAATTCAATTTACTGCTTCCAGAGCCAGTCTGCAGGGTAGATTCAACATCAGAAACTTAAACGCTGTGGTGGGTAAAATCCAGAATTCTTTTAAGGCCATAGACAATCTGATTAAGTTATTTCAGTGATTACAATTTCTTCCAAAGCAACAACTTTCTTTCCCAATCCTCTAACCCTGACAATGCAGAGGCCTCTGTCGCAACCCCTGTGACAATAAGGCTTCCTGTGTGACCATTTCATAACTCATCACCATAAGGGGGCCCAGAGGCCACTGCGCCCGCCCAGACTCGAGCCACCCCAGTTATAAGCTCCTCCTCCACATGGACCACCCCGTCCTGAGTCCAGACAAAAGCTACTTTCCCACTGGAAATAGGAAATCAGAATAAACCACAGTGGTCACACTTGAAAATAACAAGATGTGTGCCGAGAAGAAGTTGGTAGACCTCTGCTGGGGAGATGAAGATCAAGTGGTACCCCTGGGACCCTGTAAAAACCCACACAGCATGCCAGCTCAGGAGACAGACAGACCAACAGAGTCCCACAGAATGCTTGTCCCACAGAAGAACATTCCTGCCCTGCTGTACATATCAGATCGACAGCCATGTAACGGAATCCAGACCGCTCCCCAATCCAGTCTCCATCACAGAGGCCAGGGTAGTGCCTGAGATGTGGTGAGACTTTCCAAAACCAGACAGGGACTCCACACGACCGAGTCAGCCACCCAGCCGGGGGCCCCATCGCGCCCGCCCGCCCACCAGGCACCGACTGGCACTGCAGCCCTGGCTCACCCTCGATGTACAGTGGCTCCACCACGTCGTGGTTGATCAGCTCGAAGTTCTCGTGGCCGATCCAGTGCTCCACGTTCCTCTTCCTGCCAGTGAAGAAGTTGTCCACCACGGTCACTTCGTGACCGTCCATCATGAGTTTGTCTGTGAGGTGGGAACCCACAAAGCCTGCACCCCCGGTTACCTGCGTGGGGACAGGAGAGGAGAGGACGGTGATCACTCTGTACAAGGGATGTGTACTAGTGCAGCCCCTACTGAACAGGGGAGGGTGTGCGGGCAGGGGTGTGTGTGCGGGCAGAGGGGTGTGTGCGGGCAGGGGAGGGTGTGTGCAGGCAGGCTGTGGAGGTGCGGGTCCTCTGACTCCAGAGCAGGGACTTGGACCTGTGTACGTCTAGGCAGCCTGGAAATCCAAACTGCCGCCAGTAAGTAATATGGAAAGTAGCAGTTATAAGTTCAAAGTGCACTCTTCGACGGAGAACCTGACATTACTAAAAGATCCTTGTTTTATATGGGTGGGACGCTTAGCATCACTGCTACTACTAAGTCGCTTCAGTCGTGTCCGACTCTGCGACCCCACAGATGGCAGCCCACCAGGCTCCCCTGTCCCTGGGATTGTCCAGGCAAGAACACTGGAGTGGGTTGCCATTTCCTTCTCCAATGCATGAAAGTGAAAAGTGAAAGTGAAGTTGCTCAGTCGTATGGGACTCTTAGCGACCCCGTGGACTGCAGCCCACCAGGCTCCTCTGTCCATGGGATTTTCCAGGCAAGAGTACTGGAGTGGGGTGCCACTGCCTTCTCCGTTAGCATCACTGATGGGATTCTAATTCTTTTAGAATCACTTTCGTAAAAAGTGACCAGAACATGCGTCTATTTGGTGAACTACCAAAAAGAAGGATGTCATGTTTAAACTGTATGCAGAAACTTCATAAAAAGCTACACTCTTTCAAGTTGTTCACAAGAACAATATAAGAAGCAGTAGATACTGTGTGCAGACCAAGGCCCTACATGAGAAAGTTGCACTGTTTGGTTATGCGCTGTCAGAGACCCAGCCGAACAGAAGTGGGGCAGCTTTGAATGACCATCGGAGGCCAGAGATCACCAGGAATGTGCTTCTAAAACAGACACCCAGCAAATGGGAAAAGGCAATTATGACTGAAAAAAAATTTAACTAATAAAAAGACTTGATCCAGATAATGTAAGCAGAGGGGGCCAGATAAAGTACATTTTGTTTTTGGAGGGTAGGAGCAAAAATAATAAACTGATGGAAAATACATTCTCTACTCATCCTGGTAACCCATCTCACCTTCTCCTCCTTCAAAATTCACATTCCTGTCACCCTCCTGTTCCAAAGTGAAAGAATTAACAGTAGAGAAAACATGCACTTTTTACCTAAGGAGAAAGCATCTTAACCTCTAGGTCTGTGGTTGTAAAACATTTACTCTGCATGAAGTCCTCTGTTCATAGAAAACCTGATGTGTCTTTCCAGTGTTTATCCCAGGTGTGAGCAAAGTTGCCTGGGGAACAGGGGAGAAGGCTGACTGTGGCGGGGGTGGCGGGGCGGGGAACAACACACCAGCCCAAGAAGAACCACCTGCCCACCATCGGAGGATGTGCTCAGATGAAAATACAAATGTGAAGGTTTAGAACATGCACAACCAAGAAGCCCCTCAGTCTCCCATCAGCTGCACCTGTTCTCTGTCGGGAACCCTGTATTCTACTCCCCTTTGCTTCAGGAAGAGAACCGACATCTGGGGGCTGGAGTTTTGGGCCAGTATCCCTGGATCCCTGAGAAAGACAACATCAGCTTGTCCTCTTGATTCCATAGTCTGTCCACTTGTCTGGGGTGCGTTTTACCTTCAGTGCTCCTACATTTTCATCTATACACCTGCACGGTGATTTGTAAGAACAGTTTTCTACAAAAATTACTAACTTCCAATCTGGCTCACCCTTAGTGCTTGACTCAGGTGAGACTTCATTGTGTCTTACCTCTGTTTAATCGCATTTTCCCACAGTTTCTACATTAGTAAAATTACATCTTTTCAGAAGAAATTTAACCCCTCTTAATGTAACTCTATATTGATATGCAAACACCTCCTAAAATAAGATGTCCCATGGCATGCCAACTTTATCTCTGCACCTAAAGTAACCGGGTGAGACCTAGGAGCCAGCAGAAAAGCAGGGTGTTAAGTCACACAGGACAGCCGCCAACATCTCACTAGGCTTAGTGGCGAAGAAAAACTGCGTGAAGCACCTTTGTTACTGTTCAGCTGCTAAGTCATGTCCGACTCTTTGCAACCATATGGACTGTAGCCCACCAGACTCCTTTGTGCATGGGATTTCCCAGGTAAGAATATAGTTACAGTTCAGTTGCTCAGTCCCATCTGACTCTTTGCGATCCCATGGATTGCAGCAAGCCAGCAACCCTGTCCATCACCAACTCCAGGAGCCTGCTCAAACTCACATCCATCGGGTCGGGGACGCCATCCAAAAGTCTCATCCTCTGTCGTCCCCTTCTCCTCCTGCCTTCAATCTTTCCCAGCATCAAGGTCTTTTCCAGCGAGTCAGTTCTTTACATCAGGTAGCCAAAGTATTAGAGCTTCAGCTTCAGTCCTTCCAATGACTGTTCAGGACTGATTTCCTTAAGGACTGACTGGTTTGACTTCCTTGCTGTCCAAGGGACTCTCAAGAGTCTTCTCCAACACCACAGGTCAAAACAATTCTTTGGTGCTCAGCCTTCTCTATGGTCCAGCTCTCACATACATACATGACTACTGGAAAAGCCATAGCTTTGACTAGATGGACCTTTGTTGGTAATGTCTCTGCTTTTTAATATGCTGTCTAGGTTGGTCATAGCTTTTCTTCCAAGGAGCAAGCGATTTTAATTTCATGGCTTCAGAAGTGGTAAAGAAAACACCTGCCAAAGCAGGAGATGTGGGTTCAATCCCTGGATCAGGAAGATCCCCTAGAGAAGGAAGTACCTTAGCCTTTCTTAAAATAGATTAAAGATTTTTTCCAGAATAATTCCTTTCTATCTCAAGTACTTAGGTTTATGTAACATAGCTACATGTGTGTGTGCTAGGTTGCTTCAGTCATGTCTGACACTTTGTGACCCCATGGACTGTAGCCTGCCATGCTCCTCTGTCCATGGGATTCTCCAGGCAAGAATACTGTAGTGGGTTGCTATTTTGTTCTCCAGGGGATCTTCCCAACCCAGGGGCTAAGCCCACATCTCTTACATCTCCTGAACTGGCAGGCAGATTCTTTACCACTAGTGCCACCATGTAACATAGCTGGGCGGTTATAAAATGTTTCTTCATGCCCTCAGGCAAGCATTTCAAATGGAAACAGAATGGGCAGAAGCTTGGCACTCAGACAGCTTCCTCAGGCCTCGCACATGGAATGGATCAGGCCCTGCACAGCTCCGCTTGCCTCTGCGGTCCATGATCTCAGCCCCACACGCTCCTGTGGGAGCCAGCAGGGTCCAGCTCAGGTCAGCACCCAAACTCAGGCCTCACAGTTCATCAGCAAAAAGAAAAAAAAGTCTGTTGGAGCAAATCTCTTCTTTGTGCTGAGGCTTCAACAATTACTGAGAAGGCTTTAAGTTTCAGTGGCCATATGCCAGCCTTGGGCACCAAATGACTCTGAAATGTGGCTTAACCAATGAGGTGGTGAAGAGTGAAAAACACTAAGCCTATTGACTGTAATTATACGGAAAGTGAAATTAATTCCACAGGGCTCAGCATTGACAGGAAAACCATCCCCCCTGGCAGTGACAAGAACCCACGAGAGGCTATGCAGGGCTCATATATCAGCACAGAGTGTCAGATTTTCTGATCACTCTGACGGGTGGTAGCAGGAAGAATAGGAAAATCAGCTTTTCACTGATGTGTGTGTGGCTAGTCACTTCTGTTATGTCCAACTCTTTGCAACCCCATGGACTGTAGCCCGCCAGGCTCCTCTGTCCATGGGTTTCTCCAGGCAAGAATACTGGAGTGGGTCGCCATGCCCTCCTCCAAGGGATCTTCCTGACCCAGGGACTGGACCCTCTTATTGTCTTAGATCGAACATCTCTTATGTCTAACCTGCATTGGCAGGTGAGTTCTTTACCACTAGCACCACCTGGGAAGCACCACCTCTTCATTGATGTCTCTCCCTATCTGTGCCTAAAGGCTTGCATGTTTTTGATATGATAGAAAATACCCAGAACACAAGTATACACAGGCTTCAGAGTCTGCTCGCAGTGAGACTTATGGAGCCACTTGAACAGGTAGGGACCTTCTGTAACTTTTAAAAGAAAAGGGAGGTTGTGTGGGGGAAGCAGATTAACTCCGAGTCACAAGTGTCAACTCTGGTGTCCGGGACACATGGTCCCTCAACAGAGATGTTGGCTATGAAAAGACACCTCTGCATCCTAACCTTTCATATGTCAAGGTCACAGGTCAATCAGGTGCTCCACATACCTGGTCAAACTAGACAACGACAACTGGTGAAAACTAACTCCAGAACCCAATATTTAAGTCTTTGGATTTTGTCCTAAGGTAAATGGCAGATGAAGAAGCCATTATCCAAGAAAATCCACTAAAGTTCAATCTGGACACAGGAGCCCCAGCCCACTCACTGCCTCACCATCCACCCCCACCCCCCATACCCCCACCCCGCCTCCACCAGTTCAGAGCAGGTAAGAAGGTGAGAATCTCAGGGATGGCCAAAAACAGGGGCTCCCAGTGACAAGATTCGGCATCTCACTGGGGAGGGCAAACCCTGCCTCCAGCATTTCTCATTTCTGGTCCCCTCTGGTCTGGATTGCTGACCCCTGAGCCTGGTGGTCAAGTGCCCCCTTTCCCCACCCAGCTCCCACCTGCACCCTAGAGCAGAAGCTCCTCCCCAGTCCCACAAAAGGCTGTGACTCTGGGGCCCTGGTCACCCCTGCTCAGCCCCCATGTGGCCTAGGGGCGAGGCAAGAAGATCAGGGGCTACTCCTCCTGCCCGACACCCTGCCTGCAAGCTGGGTTCACTCCCTCCTCCAGCTCCAGAGGTTTCCCATCAGGTGGCTCAGAGACTATTTCCTGGGGACAGAAGGAGTCAATAAAAAAAGAGAACAAAGCTGTCCCTTAAGGAGCTGACTTTATTTGGAATAAAGGGGGAAAAGTTTAAGCATAAGGGGGACTGGGATGGAGAGCAGCA